TTTCTCCGCCTTTCCCCTGCTTTTCCGCACAGTGTCATCTCCCGTTGTCCCTGTCGTCATCGTCGGGCCATATTAAATTGTGTTAAAACACTTGCGCCATGCATGTCACACGGCACCCGCCCCCGTCCTTGGAACCACCCCCCTCCCCCTCCCCCCCTCATTTTTACCGCCCACCACCCACTTTTGTGCAATGGCGCGTGTTTTGCCATGTAACTCGTTTTGTCTCCAAGCTCCTTTGCTTTTCCTCTGCCTTTCTTTTTCTTTCTTTTTTTTTGGGAGAGGTAGCTTTTTTATGCCCGCTTCATTTCCGGCAAATTAAAACGCATACGGCGCCACACAAGTAACATTCTGGTAAGGCAAAAAAAAAGAAAGAAAATAAGTAGGTAAAAATAAAATAAACACTAATTTTGCAGCCGTGACACTCGTACGTAGTTTTTGGTACACTATTCGCCGTACTTTCCCTAGGGTCACATAATTTCTGGTTCACTTTTGCCCAGTTTCCAATTTATTTGTTTGCCAGGGGATTTGCAGTCAGCACCATCCACTCAATGCCATGTTCCCCTGTTTACTTCTTTTTATATGTATTTCCCATTTTCTGTTTGCACCTCGCCTCATAATTAAAAGCTGCACTACGAATTTTTCAATAACAGCCATAAATCAGGCATATGGAAGCCGAGGGAGTTGGCCATAAATAACTTTACAGCCACACACATTGGCCGGCCCAATTGGAGGGCGGTGGACAAGGCAGAACAAGGGGCGTGGCAGTTCAGGGCAGGGCAGCCCAGGAGGCAGGGGCAGAGGCTCCATCGATGACCCAGTCGAGCATGAAAAGCCCCCACTTGGCTCCTTATTAGTCATGCCTGAGATCGCCCGACGACACTCGCGGTAAATGCAATCGAAAAGTCGAGGAAAGCGAATTAAAACTTTAAGCAGGAGAAAGGCAGGGGGGAATTAAAGGTAGCTCTTGAAAAAAATCATAATAATATTGCAATCTTGACAAGTAAAGTCCTTCCAAATAAAATCCTTTAACAAAAATAAAACATGCCAAGAAATCACAAAGTTTTTAAAAACACTAACAAGCCTGCCTAAAAGTATGCAACAAAAACTAATGTTGTCAACTCGAATTGAAACATTATTGTTCCATACTTTTAAGCATGTTCTTCTTTTGTTCTATATTGCCAAAATATGGGTTTTAAGAAGGAATATTTTTGAAAACCGCGTACTAGTAAATAATAAATAATGAGGAAACACCATAGAAGTTTCCATTATCCATTTGAATTTGTAGCATTAAGTATGTTTTTTACAGGCCTACATTTTTTAATTTAGATCTCTATCATTCAAAATCCTGGCTTTTTATACAACCCGCTTTCAAGATGTGTTGCATGAAGCTTTAATAAGTTATTGAGTTACTTTGTTCTACGCCAAATTGCATTATTTCCATTATGGCTTCTCGGTACCTGTGCTACTTTTAATTATGGGTTCCTAACCCATAAACACACACATATAAATGGTATAGGGGGCCATATGGCATAACTATACATTGCGGTTGCCTTATTTGCCCCCCGTTCCTTCTTCTTTTATGGCTTGCATATGTATAACAGGAAATTAAAAATATATGCTGCATTTGGGCGGCTCTCTTTCTGTGTGTGTGTGTGTGAGTGTGCGATAGGATGTGTTGCCTACTTTTTGGCATTCTACCGACTCTTTTTGTCTGCTCACTTGTTGGTTGGGTTTTGTTTGCTTGTTTGCTTTGTTTTCCACATGGGCCACATTATTATGATGTCTCTTCTCTTTTCGCCTGAATGAAGTGCATCGCACATAAGGGAGTCGAGTGTGTGTGAGTGCGGGGCGGTTTGAGTGTGAGTGCGGGTCCTAGAGATGGCAAACTATTTAAAGTTATCGAAGAATATCACATATGATGAGTTCCGAAAAATCACTATTAAAGGTGTCTAAGAGTATGCAACAAATCCGATTAATTCTTTTTTACTGCACACTTTTAGACATCCTTAAGGGTGATAAGGGCCTTAAAATTTTAAAATATCCATAGTTTAATTGAAATCCCTACAAAACATGACTTCACTGAGGCTTATTTTAATACATTTTTAAGATTAGGCATACTATATTCCCTCAAAAAAATAAAATTAAATATTTGTTAATTCCTTTTGTAACCGGAAATGAATTTTTAGTATTTATATTTCCTTTAACTCTTATAAAAATGATCTTAAGGAGCCCCCCTATATCGCATCACGCTGCCATCACCAACGACACACGTTTCAGGGGTCGACTGGCAGCGTCAGCTTCGCGATTTTTCATCAAAGTCACGGCGGGCAAAAGTTGGCGAGATGCTGCCCCATTGTTGCCTCTGACACTGACACCGGAAATGAACACATTTTCCGGTGCCATACGTGTGCGCGTCTCGCTGTGTGGGTGAGTCTGTTTGCACACACACACACACACGCAGACACTGAGACCACCCACTGGGAGATTGAAAGTCGCTTAATGTATTGTTTTCCAGCGCTGACTTTCGGCTTTTGGATTTCAGCGTTCCGATTTCAGTTTTCAGATTCCAGGAGGCCAACGAAAAATTTCCCCGGACCGTCGGCTGATCTCCCACTTATTAGTGTTAAGGGAGAAAAGGAAAGTCGGGATTCAGGAGGCGGGAGCCGGGAGCCGGGAGCCTCTTCCGCCCAGAGAATTTAATTACTCGAGTGGAGCGGCCCCGGCAGAAGGTGTTAATGAGATTGCTCTGCCGACTGCGGCTTTGCCAAATCAACTCGTCAGTTCGAAATCTCCCCAGCTTCCCAAAGCCCTGGAAGATTCATGCGGCTAAGTGCAGAGAGGATTGCAATCCATCCGACTGGCAGCGGGGCAGTCACTCGGATTAGCGGTTCAGGAATCATAGATCTTACGCCCAAAATGGCCAGAATCTGGTCCCATTGAATCGAACTTGTGAAGTGGCCTTAATTAGTTTGCACTGAAATATTTGTTTTTGACTTTGATACATTTTCTTCACACATTTTCTTGATGAATGGATCCAAAACTTCACTTTTTGTACCCATAACTATACAAGTCCACCTTTCGTTTCAAATTTTTTACTTAAGTTGTGTAATAATTTGCATTTAAATTGTGTAATGGGTAAAGCTGATTAATTTTTTTAGCTTTTTTTTAAAAAAAAATTTCAAGGACCTACAAAAAGGTGACCCATAACTACACTTCGGAAGCCAATAACTTGACCGCTTTCAAAAAGCGATACCTCACAAACTTAGTAATTGAATTCACTCACTTGTACAATCAAGTTTTAATTTTATGACTGTTAAAATTGTGGATCTACTTTTGGGATAGAAAAATAAAATATCCAGAAATATATGCAACCTGTGACGATGGCCCTTGGTTATCTTTTAAATAAGATCATCTTAAGTAAAGCATTTGCTATTCGCCAGGTATTTAATTTCCGCTATCCTCGCCGCTTTCTCTTCACTTTCTCCTGCCATTTTCCTCAGTCTGATGGCTTCTTAATTAGCTGTTAAAACGTTTCGGCAGCTGCCAAAACAATTACACGCTTTATTTCCATGAACGGCACGTTTTACCTTGGTTGCAGCACCACCCGCGAGTCGTGACCCTTGACCCCCTGAAGCCCCATGTAGCCCCCTGGTGACCCCTGTGACCGCCCCCAACCACTGTGAACTACTGTTGCTGCAGCTGGGGATCTAATCCAGGACTCAAATCGTTTTACGCTGTCGCCGCATGTGGGCATTAAGTTAAATGCCGGCATAGACGACAGGAACAATGATGATGGGGCTACGCCGATGATAATGATCATAATGATGGGAATGGCAATGATGTTGGGGGCGGTGGAAATCGGGGGGTTGTCGACGTGATTATGACGATAAGGTTCCGGATTCCACATTCCGGAGCCCATCGAGAGCGGCACAATCTGCTGATTTATATTATTGTCACGTTTATGGCCAGATTGGGATTGAAATTGAGACGAGAGCGATGGTGCAGCTTACGGTGCATTGCACTTTTTACAAGCAATTAAAGGTATTCGGAATAGAATGGCTACATATAGATATGCCAGCGAATGTCTAGAGACAGCTGTAAATGAATAATGAATGCCAATTCAGCGAAAAATATATTCAATTCAATTTCGATGCGTCACTCGAGCGCCGCCGCCGCCGCGTTCGTCGCTCATTAATTTATGACAGTCATTTTTAACGCTTTGCTGCCCACGATGCCCTGCAAGTGACAGTTGATGCTGACGGCGTGCCACGCCCCCACCCACCACCCACCGCTCTAACGCCCCATTTTGCATGCGTCAAATATTCAAGCGCCATTTTTCAATTGAATTGAATGAATTTCTGAATCTCTGAATTGAGTGTATGAATGGCGGAGCCGCAGGACGAGAAAAACCCCACGACTATGGTAGCGCTATCTTGGAAAAATCGAATCTACAGATTTTCTATTTTGCTATTTTCGAAAATATTTTATAACTAAAAGTAGAGTGATTAAAATTAATCCTTATTTACCTTTAAATATATTTTATGATTTTCTATAAACGAAATAACAGAATAATATGACTTAAACTAAAAAGTAAATGTATTCTTTTAATGCACATTTAGAAAACTAAGGCAAAAAGTTTAAATTATATCATATTAGAAGCAATTAATTAATTCTAATAAGATAAAAGTGACAAAATCATATAATTAGCGAATTTGTATATTACAAATATATATATTTGATACAAATTGATAATATCAAAACCAAATATTGATTCAATTATAATTTAAGACTGTTAAAAAATATTTCTTTCACAAAAATATTTTCCAGAAGAATACCAAATTTTTTCAAGCTATAAAAATATTTGCCATCTTATTGGAATATTTTTTTTACTACCCATAAATTATTTTTTAAGCTTCCAAAACAAATTTAAATTTCCCTAACAGTTCCATATAATTTTCTCATAAACTGTAGTCCACAAAGGACATTCTCTAGTCGCTCACCTGAAAACCGCCACTATTCCGACTTGTTGTATTCCGAATGATTTGTGTTTGCCCCCTTTGTTGACGGACGTCGAGGACAGAGCAGTTCTACGGCAAACGGGCCATTTGGCCGGACTCTAAAGTGGCCATATTTCACGCTCCTCTGATGGGCCTTGTCAACGTTGGCACCCCGACTTCTCCTGCTCCTGCTCCTGATCCTGCTCCTTTCCACATCCTCCGTCGGAGGCAGCCGTACATGGGCAGACATTACACTTTAATTAACTACAAATCCACTGAAATTGCATTTCTCCATTTCGCCGCAACTGCCACGCCCCCTTTCTGGCCAGTTTTGAGCTAATAAAACATTCAAAATATTTTTCTCGGCTCGTTTCTTTCGGCCGGGGGAGTGTGTAATTTTGCACATTTCATATGAAAAGTTGTCGGGCTCACGCAAAAAACTTTTGCAGCCAACACACAAGGATGCAGTTGGCACAGTGGAACTGTGGATAATAAAATAAAGAAAAATTAGTGATGTAAATAAAAGTTATAGGGTAAATATCAGTATTCACATTACCTTTTAAAAAGAAAACCTATAAATCTTTACCAAAAGCCTAGCTAATTTGATAAAATTCCTAACGACTATATTTTTCTGATTTGTATTTATATTGATTTTTTCTTATTTATTTATCTAGCTTTTAAATTTCGTTATAAAACATATTTTTAGTTTTAAAATTATTATTATGGATTTTAAGAATATAAAAATGTATATAATTTAACGTATGTTGTAAACTAAAGAACCTAATCCATGAGGTATTCAAAATAGCTTTTAAATTTTGTTAAAAAAAGTATATTTAGTTTGAAAATGATTAGGATTTTAAGAATGAAAAAAAGGTATATATTTTAACGTATGTATATATATGAAGCCTAATGCATGAGGTACTAAAAATAATTTACACAAAATGAAACTAATTAAATAAAATACTTTTAAGATTTTCCAAGAAAAAACTTTTAAAAATTTAAAAATTTCAACTGGGATTTCTTTACTTTAAAATGATTTAAGGACATACGTACTTTGGAAAAAGCCTTTAGACCATTTTAAAATCTCAATTTAAAATAATTTTCAAAAACCTTTTCAAATGTTAGCCCTTGATTTCAGCACACAGTGCAGAAGTAAAGTTTCTTTCGGCAAAGATTAACAGAGCCCAGAAAACCCAACCGAAAGGGGGTTTCGGGGATGGGACTGGGATTTTGGGGGATATGCGTGTTTCTGGCGGCGCATGTTTGGCAATGCGGTAAACCAAATTATGTGCTTAGCAAGTTGCCGCTGCGACCAGAGTCAGTGCAACCATCCAGCCACCTCAACCGCCCAAACCACGCGATCCTTTGTGTGCTGGATGCAGCTGCATTTGCACAGCACCACATGGCCCCCCCTTTGAGTCTTTGAGCCGCCGCCCCTTGCACTTGGCCGATTTTCCTGGTGGCTCTGGTTTCTGGTGGCAAAGAGGTTTGCACAGGTGTTTCCAGCAACTTTGCCAGCATGATTAAAAAGTTTTGCCCCAGCGAAGCAATAGAAAGCCGGGCTTTGCTTGCCAGACTGTCATTGCCTGACAACAGGGGAGATGTCGATGCTTATTGTTTATTTTGGGCAGGGTCCAAAGGGTACGAAAAGAATTTCCAATTTCAAAGGCATATCACACATCCATCCTTTTTTATTCAAAAATTTCAGAAGTGTACAAAAATATCCACATTTCGTACTATTTTGTGAAGTAAAGGCCTTATGACACTTGATTTTTGACTAGCTGGATTTATTTTAAAAGTCTCGGGGACCTGAATATAATACAAAAGTTTTTGAAATGTTTTTAAGCTGTAGACACTTTTTTCTCTAGGTTGCCTGGCATTTTTGATATAAACCCATTAGACAAGTGTCATAAGGCCCTAAGCGTATGACAAGAAATCCTAATTGTAAAGTGAAGCCGCACATCAATTTTCATTTTATTCCAAAATTTTAAAAGACTACAAAATTGTTAATCCTTTATACCATTTTTTGGAGTTAGCCCTTATGACACTGACTTGAGTTTCGACAAACTGGATTTATAAAAAAATTGTGGTATCCTAAATATAATATAAAATTGTTTAAAATGATTTTAAGCTATATGTAGAACCTTTTTCTCTTATGGCTGCCCTGACTTTTTGAAACAAATCCAGTCAGTTAGTGAAAATTCAAGTTAGTGTCATAAGGCCTTAGTAAGTTGGATATTTCCAGCTTCAATTTAAAGATATTTATTTATGGCCGCTACTTATGAGACGCATTTTCCTGAAATTCAAGTTATTTAAACAGATGCCTTTAAAAGGTCTTGCACAATGATGGTTTTATATCAAATCCCGCCTGATACAATAACAAACAACGGTTTAGTGTGTGTGTGTCATAAGCGTGTTTACATAGCGTACAAAAAAAAGGAAATTCAAAATGCATGTTGGGCCTCGAACATGAGAGTGAGGGCATGGGCAACGAGGAGCTAGCCTCTGGTGAAGCGAAACATCTGGGAGTATAAGATCAAGTTAATGTACAGAACGGCGGACATGGCGATGAGCATGGCCAGACGGTATCATTTCTTTTTGGCATCCTTCAGGCCGGCGCCGGCGTTGAACTTGAAGAAGATGATGTCGCCGTCCTCGACGGTGTAGTTGCGTCCCTGTTGGCGGTACTTGCCGGCGGCCTTGGCATTCACCTCGCTGCCCTCCGACTTGAAGTCCTCGAAGTGCATCACCTCGGCCATGATGAATCCCTTCTCGAAGTCGGTGTGAATGCGCCCGGCGGCCTGCGGTGCCTTGGTGCCCTTCTGCACGGTCCAGGCCTTCACCTCATCCGGTCCGGCGGTGAAGAAGTACTCCAGCTGCAGGCCCTTGTAGCCCGTCACGATGATCTTCTCCAGCATGCTCTTGCACTTGGTCTCCGTCTCGTAGGCCTTGCGCTCCAGCTCGTCCTTCTCGGACATCTGCTGCTCGAAGGCCCCAGAGAAGGGGATCAGCAGGGCTCCCGGATCGTTCTTGTCGATCCATTCCTTGATCTTCGGCAGCCACTTGTTCTTCTTCCGGATGAAGTCCTTGTCGGAGAGGTTCACCAGGTAGATCATCGGTTTGGAGGTCAGGAACAGATACTTATTCAGCGCCTCAATCTGAAAGGGCGAAGGAGTGGTAGCATTAACGAGAACGGGATGGCGAATCACAAGGTCACACGAAAAAGTCCACAAGAAAGACGGCCAACTGGTAGTAACATGTTTAAAATGCAAATTACATAGTTAAAGCATAACTTATAAGCACATATACAAATGGTTTTAGAGGGTTTAGGAAATGAAGATGATATATTAAGGATTGGCACGCTATAATCTTCCTTTATATGGATTTTTTCGCACTCACATCATGGGCATTCCAGTCCTCGAAGCGCAGATGACGCTTCTGGTCGACGAGGATCTCCTTGATCTTGACCATCGAGTCGTATTCGGGCTTCAGCTTCTTGTCGCCGCCGCGGGCCACGACCTTCTCCAGTTTGTCCAGGTTCTTGAGCAGATTCTCCTCGTCCTTGAGGCGCAGCTCCTCGGAGATGATCTCCAAATCGCGCACCGGGTCCACCTCGCCCTCGACATGGGTCACATCCGGGTCCTCGAAGGCGCGGCACAGGTGAAAGATGGCATCGCAGGCGCTGATGTGCGACAGGAAGTCGTTGCCCAGACCCTGACCCTCGGCGGCTCCCTTCACCAGGCCGGCAATGTCCACGACGTTCAGATAGGCGGGCACCACACTAGTTTTTTATAGTTTTTTGTTGGATATATTAATTTTTGCATCTATGTAGGTACTTTTTAAACTTTACAAGCAAAATGCAACCAAGGGTGAAGTGTACAAGTCCCGGAACTTGTTGTAAGTGTACATAATTTCGGTAAAAAGCAATGCCAAACTAAAAACCAAAGGACTTAGATCCTTTTGGAACTCACCTGGCCGGCTTGTGGTAGTCCACCAGGTAATCGAATCGCTCATCGGGCACCGGAACACGACGTGTGGGTAGGGCAAGGGGCAGCATCGCATGGAAAGAGCGGTGAGACGCATGTTAGTCGGGTTTATTTGGCTGGATGCAAAAATACAAAAATACAAAGAGATGGAAAAAACCTCGCCAGATTGACTGACTGCCTGGCAGGCCGGCAGCATCGCGGGCCAATCATGGCAATTTTCTATAATTTTGCGCCATCCGCAAAGGGGCAGCGAAACCAAAATGAAGTCGCTCACAAATAAAAAGCCCAGGAAAATGAAACCGAAGCGAACCGAAGGCGGGGGCAATTTGCATATTGGGAACTGGATCTGATAAAATTGCTAAGGCCGCGACACGCCCACAACGCAAAAGACAGTGAAGCATGGTTATCTTTAAAACGTTGAGGGTCTTTATAAACTCCAAATACGGAAAAGTATAACATGGAAAAGGACTAAAATTTGGACCTACTTCAAAAAGAAATGTTTGAATGTAGAATATTAGAAAATTGAACCACAAATTCAAAGAGGTATCCCACGTTTAAATCGGGTTACAATAGCGAAAGTTATGGTTTTTAGAAGTGCAGTTTTGTGCTCCCACTCTGAAAACCATTGGAATTACGGAAAAATCGAACATGGAAAGGGGCCAAAATTTGGACCCTCTTAAAAAAGAAATGTTTAAATGTAGAATATTAGAAAATTTAACCACAAATTCATAGAGATATCCCACGTTTAAATCGGGTTATAATAGCGAAAGTTGTGGAATTTAGAAGTGCAGTTTTCGGTTCTTATTCTGAATGCCATTGGAATTACGGAAAAATCTAACATGAAAATGGGCTAAAATTTGGACCCTCTCAAAAAAAAATGTTTGAATGTAGAATATTAGAAAATTAACCCACAAATTCATAGAGGTATCCCACTTGAAAATCGGGTTACAATAGCGAAAGTTTTGAAATTTAGAAGTGCAGTTTTGGGTTCCCACTCTGAACGCCATTGGAAATAAGAAAAAATCGAACATGGAAGGGGCTAAAATTTGGACCCTCTTAAAAAAGAAATGTTTGAATGTAGAATATTAGAAAATTGAACCACAAATTTATAGAGGTATCCCACTTGAAAATCAGGTTACAATAGCGAAAGTTATGGAATTTAGAAGTGTAGTTTTGGGTGCCCATTTTGAAAACCATTGGAAATACGGAAAAATCGAACATGGAAAAGGGCTAAAATTTGGACCCTCTTAAAAAAGAAATGTTTGAATGTAGAATATTAGAAAATTGAACCACAAATTCATAGAGGTATCCCACTTGAAAATCGGGTTGAAATAGCGAAAGTTATGGAATTTAGAAGTGAGTTTTGGGTTCCCACTCCGAAAACAATTGGAAATAAGGAAAAATCGAACATGGAAAGAGGCTAAAATTTGAAACCTCTTAAAAAAGAAATGTTTGAATGTAGAATATTAGAAAATTGAACCACAAATTCATAGAGGTATCCCACGTTTAAATCGAGTTACAATAGCGAGAGTTATGGAATTTAGAAGTGCAGTTTTGGGTTCCCATTCTGAATGCCATTGGAATTACGGAAAAATCCATAATGAAAATGGGCTAAAATTTGGACCCTCTCAAAAAAGAAATGTTTGAATGTAGAGTACTAGAGAATTTAAGTACAAACTCATGGAGGTATCCCACTTGTAAATCGGTATCAAATAACTTAAGTTATGGAATCTGGAATTTTAGATTTGGGTTCTTTTGATACCTATTTTCTCTCAGTAAACTGCAAACTTCGAATAGTTCACCGTGATTTATCCATATATGTACATTCGATTCGTGTTGGTTCTATGTGAAGATCCTAAAGCAGTTTTCCCTACACTAAACCACGATATTCAAGGCCTCCTTCCGACTGAAGACCTCCACCTTGTCGAGGTCCCACTGTGGCTATTTTAGAAGGTCCAGTCGAGAGAGCAATTTGGAATTAGAAGCGGCGGCGGCTGCTCCTGGAGGCCATTGCTGCATCGCAACGGCGGGCATAAAAATTATATTCCACGCGATGATTACAATGATCGAGGAAATTGCCGCCGCCCGCAGCTTGGCCTGGTAATTGGCCAGCTATATGTATATCGGGGGACATATGGAGGGGTTGGGGAATACTTATTCTCATTCGGCTTGATGGTGCAGAAGGGGAAGTTCTCCGCGGGGGCGGCACTTTGGGTCAGAACGTTGAAGAAGGTGGACTTGCCCACGTTGGGAACGCCGACGATTCCGATTCTCAGATTCGTGCCGATTCTTCCGATCAGCGGCTTGCGTTCCGGTTCATCGTGCTTCTTCGGCGGCATCTTGGTAAGTATATATCTGCGGGGAATGGAGGGATATAGATATATATCAGATATAGGTGGTTTTATTTTTGGGACTCCCGAGGGCGCCGAACATAACCTCACTTTGCCGGCTGCTGGCTTACCTTTCACCTTTTCGCGTGGACGCTATCCGCTTTCCGCTGAACTCCGGCTGCAGCTGTCGGTGTAAAGTTGAAGGTTAGTTGGTTTGATTGAACTTTAGCCCCTGTTATTTACAAATATTTACGAATATTTGGGCGTCCGCTGCTTTTTGCGGCTGACGGCGTGGAAGGAAAGAGAGCGAGCGAGAGGGCGATGGGCAATCAGCTGTCGGCCACGCAGGGTTGCATCGCAACTAGCGCCCCCGGGCGGGGGAATCGGGCAGCCGCTGCTTGGTGCCGCGGGCGGCAGGGGGCGCCACTAGGCCCGGGCGCGCAATTTGAAATTACCCCGAGGGCCATGTCATTACCTCTGTGGAATTTCTGCCTCTTTCAACAGGTTCTACGTCTTATTATACATCTTCAGCTGCTTTACATACTATTTTATCGGTTTATCTTTTATCTTGGTTGTGTTTTGATTTAATTGCTAAAACATAGGCTTATTAGTATTTAAAATTATATATCAAAGTGGATATCACCTGAGGCAATGTAACAAAAGTACTTAAACTTGTACACTCTGCTTATAGATAGAGATGACTTGCTACTATAATATGTTGATGAACTTTCAATATTAATTTTATTGCTTTTTTATTTAGTAAAATTATGTTTAGTGTGCAGTAATAAACGTAATGAGCTTAACGAGTACTGGCAATTGTTGGCAGTCTATTTGTTTTAAATAACAAACAAAAATCATACAAATTTAATAAAAAACTTTATATAATTACATTATCCATCGATCTAACTTAACAGTAATAATAGTTTAATTTTGGTGGCTAACCGTGATTGTTTTGTGTACCGTATAACCTATGTATCAAGTTATTTAAACATTTTCATAAGCCTAACAATAAATTAAATGTATATCCCAACATTATATTACCAATTTGTAAACTCACTATGCGGTTTTAAAATCAATTGAACTACTTAAATAACTGTTTAAGGTTTGTGGTAGATACTTTAAATATCTACCAAGTCTGCCGGCAATTTGATGGTTTAATTTCGTCTAGATCTGCAGATGCGAGTCCCCCACCTTCCACCCCTTTTTCCACGTCTTTTTTCAGGCAAAACCAAAGCGATCGAGTTAACTGTCAAGGTCGTCGGGCCGACGCACGTACACGCAATTTGGCGGTTTAGTGAAAAGCCCGCAATAATCAATAATTTCGCATAATTAGCGAGCCGATCGGCGGATCGATCCCTTGGCTTTATGGCCAACTGAAACGCAACTCCTTCGACGGGTTAAGGGGTCCCGAAGGGGTTAAGGTTGGGGATCAGGTTTGTTGATCTTTCGCGATTGCTGGCAATCGATTTGGCTCGTTGGTCGATGCGCTTTGATTGATTCCCCGGCCCGCGTTTATGGCCCTAATTAAAAGATCTGTTATGCGTGATCGGTCTACCTTTCGATATTCCAATGCAACCCCATCCCCATGGCCATGTGCGTGCTAGAAAACTTACTTATAATTTCACGCTGTCTTGCCTTTCTGGCCAGTTTCTTTTTTTTCTTTCAAGGGATCGATTTGCGGTTGTCCGACCGTTTAAAAATCCATTTGCAACTGACCCTGGACAACTGTTTTTCCCACTGGAGCATGTAATACCTTTGTAATATTTGTCCAGAAAACCGCAGGACAGGAGATCCTTGTGGTCCCTGCCTGCTGACGATCGGAGGCTTGTGGATCGCTTTCTGGACTGTGGTTTCATGCACTTATTAACAATCTTGCTCCTGACCCTATACGACATTAAGAGATCCATTTGATTGTTTATATTTTTCAAAAAGCACTCGGATTAATTTTATGACTAGTTTTGGTTATCCTTTGGTTACCTTATGCCTATAAATGATGTTTAAATTGTAATAACAATTAAATAAATGTCGAATAATCTACCAAGGTAGTAAATATTTACTAAACGAAAAGAGATTTAAAATTTCTAAAAACTTTTTAGCATCCCAGAGCAAATAATATCAATTTAAATATAATGGTATTTTAATATCTGTGAAAATGATGTAAGTCCATTAAACTAATTATTCAATTTAAATAGCTGTCAAAAAATATGTATACATATTAAAATAAACAGCTATATTTAAGGAATTCAAAACATTGATTTCACAAGAGAAATTTATTTAATATTTTTATATACTGATGGATTATATGGTTGAACATATTTTCATATTACTCATGCAACTTAAAATGTCTCGTATTAAAAATTATGTGTATTTTTTAAATTTAAAACATTTATTTCGTGAAACATTATTCTTAAATTCCCATAAAATAATTGAATATTTGTGGTCATAGTTCTTAAATAAGTAAAATATAGAAATTTAATTGAGCAACAATCTTTTTAATATCAATTAGAGCAACGCTGCTTCCGTTCTTCTATGAATTTCCAACTTCCGAGAAATTCATAATTTATGATACTATTCCCCCCACCCCCCACAATTCCAAGGACTCTGCGCTGCCCCCAAAAATTATTCAATTTTCCACCATGATTATTCAACGCTAAGCCGGCTTCTTTTGCATATTGTTTGTAGTGGGTTAATTAAGCTGACTTTTAATTGCCTTTTATTGCGCTTAATTATTGGAGTCGGGAAAACAGAGGGAGGCCCGCATATAAGGTCGGTGTGGCGAAAGAAGGTTGGGGCCATAAATTTGTATACATATGACTGGATAATTGCGGTTCCCGCGGAATTAGCCCAACGAGCCACCACGCATCTCGATTTCCACTCCCATTCGCACCCACATTACGCGCGGGGCGTGGTCCTAAAACCGAAAAGGGGCTGGGGGCGTGGCAGTCGGGGGCAGGTGGAACAGAACTCCGCCAAACTGAACTGAACTGAATGCATAACATCAGCAGCGCGTTTCAATGAGCCGAGCATTCGTTTCCAGCTTGTTGCTCCAATTAAAAAAGTGGCAACAGAAAAAAAAAAGAAAAACGGAAGAAACAACTGGAAAAGTGGCAAAAACGAATACTGCCAGGCCAACACAACAGCAGGCCATTCATATTCATAACCATTTGGCGGTTTTTTTATTGCCTTTAATTATAACGTGGCCCGTATTCAAATTGTTCTGGCTAGGAAAATGTTCAGAAGCAAACAAAAGACTTAGGCAACAAACTCGACTGATCTTTAAGCGGTGTTTCGTTGGTGGGCGAGGGGTTGGAAAGGAGAGGGGAAGAGAATAAAAACGTTAGTATTTTCCGAGAAATAATTACAAAATTAAATAAAAACAAAACTCTTGGTCAGTACAAAATGATTTTTAATTTTCATTAAGTTAAATATATATGTGTGTAAATATAAACATCACAGTTTTAAGAAAAATAACACATTGCTGCTTGATCAGTTTTTCTATGCTAACAATATGATAATCAAAAGGCACTTTAACAATTTGTATTGGAAAACAAAAAAAACACTTTAAAAATTATATTTTTTTTTTATAATGAAAAATCTGTTTGGTATTTTAATAATAAAAGAACATTTTAAGAGTATAGTTTATAAAGATGTTTAAACAACACTCTAAAAGTAATTTGGTTGATGTCAAATATATTATAACTATTATTATCTTAACAAATAAAAAATAATTTTATATTTTATTATTATTATTATAAAAAGTTCGACTATAATGTAAAATTTACAGGCGAACCTAAGTTAAGCTATAGCTACGTGGCCTTAAGCTTAAAAACTAGTTAACAAATTTCAATATAAATTTCATAACAACATTTATCTATAACTTCAAAAGCTTATTAAATTTCATTAATTATATTATTATAGCTAAGGAATTTTATAATTTTTTTTATTTGTGGCGCGCTGGGGATGAATATGGATTGTAAGGGGTTTGTGGAAGTGAAGAGAGACGATCTTATGGAATTGAGATAGGAACATTCTGTTAGGATGTGTTGAGGAGTTCTTATTTCGTTGTTGCATAGGGGGCAAGAGGGTCTTGTGGGAGGGCGAGTAAAAAGGTAGCTATGGGTTAAGTTAGTGTGTCCTAACCGAAGACGTACAATTTTTGTGAAGGTATGACGGGGGATGAATAGGTCGGCTTGGAGTCGACCATAATTGTATATATTGTTTTGATCTGTATTGTTTGATTTGTAATATGTATTTGTTTGGTTAAAAAGAGAAATCTGTAGTTCTTTATAGTGTTTTTTAATTTGTTTTAGGATATCTGATATGTTTAGGTTGTCGTAGAATGTCAGGGGCAATGCAAAGGCGTTTTTGGCGGTTTCATCAGCAACTTCGTTGCCTTGTATGCCGCAGTGACCAGGGATCCATTTAATGGTTATTTTGTTAACGTTTTTTAACAGAATTTGTCTGATTGTGGCTGGGTAGAAGGAATTATTGGAGGGATTTGCTATAGCATTTAACGCCGACAGGGAGTCGGAACAGATTACTGAGGAGTTTGCTGAGTGTTGAGCTAAAAGGACTGCATTGTAGATAGCAATGATTTCGGCAGAGAAGATGGAGCTATAGAATGGTAGTAAGTGCTGTTGGCTTATGTCGTCGGATACTACACTAAAGGATGTCGCGCCTGAAATTTTGGAACCATCGGTGTAGATGAATGTGCTGGTCGCGTATTTGTTTTTGAATTCGAGAAACTTTTGCTGGTAGACTAGTTGCGGAGTGGTGGCTTTCGGTAGTTTACGCAGAGTTGTATCTATCAAATTGGATACATCCGACCAAGGTGGGTTAACGGGTTTTTTAGAAATGGGTGGTTTGGTTGGTAAACCAAGTTCTACGGCGAAATTCAAGGCTCTGTGGACGACAGATGGAATCTTTGGGATTCGCTTCTTTCTTTTTAATATTTTGGTAACTATCGATTTTAGCGGAGAGTTATGGGAGAGTAGGATGGGTTTTATAGTTTTGGAGGTACAAAACTTGGTTCGGATATCTATTGGCATCATGTTAGACTCGAAGAGAATGTTATGGATAGGGGTGGTTCGAAAAGCACCTAGAGCTGATCTGATGGCAGAGTGGTAAATGCTTTTAATTGGCTTAATTGTGGATGTTGTGCAATTACCGTAAAAGGGTAAGCCGAAGTCGATTTTTGACAAAATAAGCGCTTTTATAATGTTTAAGATGGTGAGGTGGTTGCAGTTGAACTTGTTGCTCGATATGCACTTTATGATATTGAGGCGATTTGAGAGGGAAGAGACGAGACTAGCTACGTGATCTGCCCAATTATATTT